GCGCGACATGTCAGCGGCTACTGCTATCACGCACGCGAGGTTGCCACCCATGAGCGAGAGCTATAATACTTCATGCGCCCGGCATTTGAATACGGTTGGTCAAAGCATTATAGGTTATATGTATACAATGTAAAGTCTAGATCAGAAAACTCATTATCGGTCTAACAATATATCATATTTAAAATAAAAGAGCAATCAGTGATTTATCTACTCATCTATCAAGCCGGCACACGGCTTGGGCGTGAAAAGGCATGTAACATTTATATGTGGTCATGTGATACTACATTCCAAATTTAGGATATAACATAATTATATCTTCCAAGACATCAGATGATATGAAGTAGTTACATAGTTCTCCATACCTCATGCTAGGTGGTCTGAAAGGCTGTATTGGCACTGAATATCATGTCGCACTCAAATGTACAAGTGTTCGCTTATATTCTTCATTGCATAATTTTACACTTAGTTCGTCAACATTACAGGCTGTTACTGACCTGCCAGTACAATCTATATCCCAGCCTGATTCTTGCGGTCACAATATCACACTGTCTTGTTCTTGTTTTGTATAAACCATAGATGAATACAACTTGCATAAACCTGTCGTAGTTCTTTATGCTACAGCTTTCAGGCCGTTGAGAATTAATCAAGTCAGACAAGTCCTCTTTGAAGGAAGTTTTAATTATGTGTGAAATCCTAGCAAGAGTACTCCAAGATCTATATCCACACTTTGCTTGTCACATGCTGATTTTGCTAGACGGTCAGCATGATCATGCCTGGGGATTCCAACATGCGATGGTATCCCACACAAAACGTATGTCATGGCCTCGTTCTTTTGCACGATAACACATTTATCCTTATGTCATTTGCAATATTTTCCGCACCTTTGTCTGGTGTGTTCAGTGCTGCTGGAGAGCACTCTGTGAGTCGCCAGAAAATGACTCCTGAGCCTTGACTTAATAGAAATTCGGTGGCTATGAGCATTCCTGCCAACTCAGTTTGCGTAGTGCTAGCCCAGTCATGAACCCGCCTACAATCCTGGTGCTGCAAAATATTGTTTTTATATACGACAAAGCGCATCCTGCTCTACTCCCAGACTGCAAAGGTTCCATCAAGTGTAGCATTCATACGCATTGGCATAGTTTTCAAGGTGTTCATTGATAATTGCTAAAGCATATTGCTTAAGTACAGCAGGGGGACACTGTCTTTTTTTGGGGCAGTCGTATAAAATACACAGGTCCGACATTTTCCACGGTGGAGCAGAACGTCCATGTAGGGTCTTAGTTTGGATATGTTCAGCTGAGACAAGTGCTTACATGTTACTTGTTGCCATGGATTTGAATTTGAATCGATGTTGCCATTCAAGTTAGCTCCACTATTCTAGTGTTTTAGTTGTCTTTGGAACTCTGTATAATAGAGGGGTTCTCTTTGCTTTGACCCTAAATGTGGTGTTTTATGTATAATATTCTTTCATAGACAGACGGCAAATTAAGTTCTGTTCCATATTCACAAATCCTCGTTGTCTAGGCAGCACCACGAGATAAGCCTCATGGCCTCATTTTGTACAATTTCTAAACTAGCCAACTCTGATTCCTTGTATAATACTAGGTGCAATGCATGATATCTATGACCGACCGTATGTATGACAGGTAAAAGAGTCTAGCAATATTGACATTAATACCATGGTCTTTGCGCGACAAGTGTTCCTAAAGTGGCTTCCGTTCCACAGCCTTTTCTTCAGGTTTTGTATGAACTCTGCATTCATTAACAGCCACCCCGAGAGATGTATTGGTGACAGAGAGATCTAGCTCAGTGTCATTGATGTGAAACCTTGGCAGAGGGGATGTTTAGGGTTAAAAGTGCCTTTGTTTTTTCTGATTCGATTATCAAGCCACACTCTGTAGCCCTTGCTGAAAGCACATCAAGGATCTGTTGCATCCTCTCTTCGGATGAGGATTTAATGCAAATAATATGGCATAGCAAATAATGGAGCATTGCCCTCAAATGTATGTGCCTAGTAATCTATGCATTAGGATGTTAAATAGCATGGACTAAGTACGCCTCCCTGAGGTGTGCCGATTTCAAACACTTTTGCATGGTACCTTAACACCCCTGAAGAAAACCTGAGCCGATCGATGGATAGATACATTTGAATCCATGTTAACAGTTTTCCCTGAATACCAAAACTAGCTAGTTGCTCAAGGATCATTTCTCTGTTTACAATATCAAAGGCAGATTGAAGATCAAGAAATACGGTTTGTATGCCTGGTATTGAGTTTAAGTATTATGCAAAACGATGCTGACTGCTACGTCCTGGGGAGAAATCCATACAGTCTGGGGGGTAACTTAGCATGTATACGGTACATGAGTCTGTTCAGAAATATTCTCTCAAGTACTTTGCACAGACAGGAGGTCAAGGAAATTGGTCTTGTTTGTCAGTGTTGGATTTGGGTATAGGGAGATTAAACTTTTAGTCCAGGAGCTTGGGAGGATTCCTTGTGAGGCTGTCTATACAGGTGTAAGAGTGGGTTGCCTGGCACCTGCGCCATGAGGCGAAGAACACTGTAAGTAATGCCATCCTCGCCAGGGGCTGTTGCCTTGCCTTTCACAAGGGCATTTCTTAGTTCCCACTCGGTTATTTCGGCAAAATCGGATGGGTCAATAGCAGCACAGGTTACTGCTATATTGAAATTTCCTATCTATTTTTGACTTGTCGAGGTGATCTTTTATCCTTGTTGTTGAGTTCAGCTGAGAGTTTTCAGCCCACTGCTCCAGTAGGCATATTAGCCTGTTCTTTGTGGGCTGTGAAACTGCGGTGTTGTGGGAGCTTACCTGTCAGCCTATTAAACTTTCTTTTTACCAACATCAGCCATGGAAGTTGACTATTGATGCTTTGTGAAAAATTGTTCCCAGTGTTTACTACGAATCTCAGTTTTAGTCTCTGAATTCTTTATTGGCTTTAAGAAACTGAATAAGATTGTCTGACGTCTTGTTATCTTTATAGCAATTGGCAAGCTCCTGAACTCGTCGATGCTCCTTGGCTAGAATTGGGTCATTGATCCACCTCGGAGCATGGGGGGCTTGGGGTTCGTTTTCTTCGAGAATTTTCGTGAACAGACCCATGTGTTATATAGTAGTCAGACAACTTTGATTAAATCTGAGAGAAATTTTCAACTGTTGTTACTTCATATGTGTTGTACCAATCAAAGACACGTACCTTGAAGTGATGCTCCAGGCCCGGTGGGATGATTATTCTAAGCCTAGGTGTTTTAGGGGCTGAGTTGCTGTCAACAGTATAGTCAGTTCGGATTGCAAAGTGGTCACTAACTAAAATTCTCGTACCAGTGAAGTACAGACATTACCATGAACTAGATTTTTGCCAAATACGTAATCTAACCTGCCACCTCCAAATGAGTTTCTATTTCTGTGTCATATACTGTCAGTGATCTACTATTAATGAAATGTTTGAATTTTCCCCATTACTATTACGCTGGCTGTCTCCAAAGTGTGGTGCCTTGCATTAAGGTCGCCCATGCATAATGTGCCTTGGTTGTGAAAATTGGGTAAAGAACAAACCAGAAATTTTTGACGATCTGGCATATATATTTATATAGTGAAAATACCCAGGCAGTCTGAATTTTTAAATGATGAAATTGAACATCAGTGTTCTCGGATTTTTAACTATTTATGTGGCAATGTTACCTTCACATATGTCACCAATCCAGTCATGGCTGTATTCACATAAGAATGATAACCCTTAATTGAAGGTGCAATTTTCATTTTAGCAGCAGCAGCAAAAGGTTCTTGCACGCAAATCACATCAATATTATATTTACGAATATAAAACTCTAGGTCACTCAGCCTAGCTTAATACTATGCATATTCCATGATATGAATTTAATTGTGCGTCTATCCATATGTGAGTAGTGTTATTATTATGTAATCTGTACTTCATGCGCTTATATCCAATGATATTACGGAATTTAGGTTCACATAAGAAAACACATAACTTCATGAATAATGTAGATTCTATTACAGATGATTGTCCTAAGCTTAAAAGTACTTTTAACCAGTCAAAGATTAGGTCTTAGCTTTTTCCCACTTCTTAGCACAGTCCCCTCGGTTGTTGGCCGGGTGTACCTGGGGGGCTGGTGACGTCACTGGACTCCTCGTCTGACTCGGTGCCGCAGGGATCGTGGTAGTGTTCGTCGCTGCTGTCAGCGCTGCCACGCCCATTCTGGTATCAGCATTGATGTCATGACATCGTATCTGCTCGCTCGTTTCTTTAACACTAATAGCAGCACTAGTATCTCGGCAATGGCAGTCCCTGTTCATTTTTTCCTTGTCCTGTCTCGTTATTGTTTTCTTGTCTCAGAGCTTTGATTTCCT